CAAGTGCAGGTAAGACGATGAGATTTTCAGTTGAAATGTTCAAATTTTTATTTTAAACAACTTGGGAAATACTTTGGAATTTGTTCGTTCTCTCCCTGCTGCTGTAGTTAACAAGTAACTAAGCCAACCAGCAAGTGAGCGAGGTAGCAAGTGTGAGACATCGTTTAAATGTTGTAAACGTTTTCATCTATTTTTACGGGTTTTGAGGCGTTTTTATGTACTTTGTGTTATTAGTGCGATATGTGAAGTAGATTTTTTTATTTCTGTTTTTATTGTGATTTTCCTGAGAGAAAAAAAGACTCACTTATGTTAAAATGTTGAACTTTTGCCTTAAGTGCTTGAACCATAAAAACGTCGATGAACAAAGTACCAAAGTGGTGGTGAGGATTGTGGTATTGTTGTGCTTTTGCATTGTTTCAGTTATTATGTGGGTCAGGGTTATCTACAACAAATAAAACACGTTAAACTTAATATGTATACTTGTAATTATTTTGCAAAAAACACAAAAAATATTATTTAATATATGCTTGACCGTACATAGTAGGGGTCTTTTTAACATTAGAATGGACAAACCACAAAGTATGTTCTTTGCTGCATTAAGTATTTAATTGGAAATTTCAATAAAACAACTTAAATACCCAGTAAGCATTGGATTTAAACATGTTCAACGACAAGGCAAGCAAATAACGGGATGTTGGGGGGTTCGAAAATGAAAAATTAAGATATATTTATTTATTTGTAAGAAAACTAGTTTTTAAGCGTTAATTTTGGCCGGCAGGGTCTAATTATGCCCTCCACTTAATTTGAACGTAATTCATAACCAAGTCGCAAGTGCGGTTGTAAATATCAACAATCTGGAAATATTATTTATGGTCATAATCCAAATTATCAAATTCTAACCAATAAAAATTTTTGTATGGGGGGATTCAGATTCCGGGGTTTTGAATATATTGCGAGATTTGAGATTTTTGCTCAAGAGGTGTTTTTTGCACAAGTATTCGAAAATAAAAATACAGCCACTTCAGGTTGAAAATGTGGTTAGCACCTTTTTATAGCCTAACCCTAATATGGAGTGTATATTAAGTTCGTCATTCCGTTTATAACTCATCGGAGTAATAAATTTAGACTCCACAAAGTATACATATCTATGATATCGCTATTATGTAAGGAATTGAGATGGGGTGCTGAAATCTGGTACATATGCGTTTTGGATTTGATCTTATCATATAACGATACTCCTCATTTTAAGAATTTGCACGACTTCTGGTACATTTTTCAACAGAATTGTCTGGAATTTTGAATTTGAAGGTTCTAACAGGTTCCTAGCCACATCCCAAAAAAAAGTTAATATGGGTCCACATTGTGGTACATCTAATAATTCGGTATTCTGATGGTTTTCTCATTTTTTTCGACGGAATTGTTTGAAATTTTTTATTTAAAGTCGCTAAAGGGGGTCTATCTGACTTACAAAAAAAAAAAAAAATTAAATAAATAAATAAATAAAATTTGATATATGTGGGGAGGCCACAATTTTTTGCTTGTTAACACTTAACATCGGAAGCTGCAGCTATATGTGACTTATGTGAAACCGAAGACATATAAAGAAAAAGAGGCATGTTCTATATTTTGAGCACCGGAATTGCCAATGTTTGAATAGGAAATTACAGATCCAACCCGATTCAAAGCAGGATTAATTAACAATAAGAAGAATTGTATATCAGTCGCAAATAAGGGAATAGATCTTAGAAATAAAATTTCAAATTTATTCAGGCATTTATTTATTTATTTTTTTTTTATTATCTATTTTTTATTTATTTATTTATTTTTTTTTTTTTGAAATCACAATACAGCTTCCTATGATTAAGATTTAAGGATTTGTTTACACAAATGTTTTAAATCCTTTGTTGTGTTTGTAGTTGCCTGAAAATATCGCAAACAGCCGTCCATATAGATTCAAATTCGTTTTTTGTATGCCATATCCAAATTTCCATAGGAATTGTTTCAAAATTGGTTCGGTACATATTTCCCGGCAACGTATAAGTACCCCAAATGGTACCTCCCGAAATACGGTATTTTTATTGGGTCAAATAGTTTGTAACACCTCGACATATTTTTTTGTAGAATAGAAGACTTTCGCTTTTGTGGGATGTTTGCAATATATTTAGGTAATAATATTGATCACGACTTAAAATACCCTCAATCATATGGCTACAAAGGGTATATAGACCCAAGGTCTCTTTGGACGGAATCCGTTTCAGACATTTGAAGTCGCTTCAGTGGTCTTCGTCCGTCTGGCTAGCTGGTGCGCACCATAACTCTTAAATAAAGTATCCAATTCGCTTCAAACTTGGTACATTATATTTTTATACCAAATGCAGATCGAGTTTAAGGTGAGCAATATCGGTCCTCTCTATATGTACCTCCTTTACAAAATATCGAGAGTTTCAAAAGAAATAATTTACCTCATAAAAAGAGAAAGGATAAGCCGATATTATTGAAACTTCTGATATCCAAATATTTGCTCCAGTGTTATGTTAGGTGCGAAAATGGACAATATCGACCCACTTCGTCTAGTACCTCCCTCACAAAGGGTTAACATTTTGATCAATCATAACTGTTATAAAATGGGAAATTAGAATTCGATTGCCTTCAAACGACAGATTGGAAGATGAGGTATATCAGACTACTCCTTCTGGTACCTCCCCCATCAAGGGTCAAAATTTTGAGAACCTTATAACATGCAAAACAATTCGGCGATTCTCTTCAAGCAAGGGGTCAAATTTTTTAATAATTTTTACTCTCATAAAATGCGAAATAATCCCTTCTTCTTTTAAATTTGTAACAACGCATACTTCCACCAACATAAGATCTGGTGGGCTTATGATCTTTCGACACAGTCTTTCTGGTACCTTATCAAAATTTCGTGAGGATCGGACAATAATTGAGATATGCATATAATACCCTCAAACCGAAGTGTTAGAAAATTTACAATTCAAAATTGTAAGTCAAATGGAAAAAATCGCATGCGATAAAAAATATGAAAAAATTGACAAAAGATATTCACTTTTTTATTGGTATATTTTCCCGCGATTTTCATAGATATTATTGTTATTTTTCCAAATTGATGGAAATTGTGAAAATCTGTCCAGCGGTTCTTGATTTATAAGCAGAATAAATAAGATCAATTCTTTTACATATATATTTTACCTATTTTGCTATATATCCGTTTTCTTGGCTATTATCATCACTGTAATGGTCAGAAGTGATCTTTTAATGTATTTGTTATTTGGCTGGGATTGAAAATATTCGCGGTTTAGTGAAAATGTTCCTATTTTCTTGCATAAAAATTAAGGGTCTTTTTTAACCGCTAATTATTGTCTAACTCCATGTAAATTTTCGCGTCGATTGGTTTATAATTGTAGCCTATAGAGTAACTTCAAAATCAGGAAAATTTTCTGTTTTTTGTCCGTTTTAACACCTAAATATCGTGCGTTTATCTCCAAAAACGATAGGGTTCTATTCTGACCATAACCCCACCTCCATTTTCAATTTCGTGAGGATCGGTTCATAATTGCGACCTGTAGAGTGATTACAAATTAACATGGACAGACGGACGGACGGACGGACATACATAGCTAGATCGACTCAGCTCGGCGAGATAGGAAGATCCATATATACTTTCCTATGTGGGAAACCAATATTTCGAAGTGTTACATAATTTTTGGCCCAATCAAACTTATAAAACCCTTAACACATAGTGTTGTAGGGTATAATAATATATATTCACTCCATTTGGTTGATATTAGCCATTATTTGCACAATAAGCTCTATATATATATGTCTTGTACCAAATATCATTGTTGTCGAACACATATCACGAATATGAGGGACTTTAACACCAAATCGTATGAAACATATATGTGAGCCATAGCTATATCGGAACTGATTTTCTCCAAATTTGATGTACTTGCTTCTAGACTGAATTCGGTCGGATGTATCAAAATTCAGGTTATTTGGACTGATGTTGGCCATTTGGCGCACAATAAACCTGATATCGGATAATTATATATATGGAAGCCATCGGACTGACATGCGTAAATCGACTCAGAAAGTGATTCTATGAAGATCCTCAAAAGTAACTATGGGTCTATCTCGCTTCCTTCTTCCCGTTACAAACAAATGAACAAAGACATAATACTCTTACCACAATGTGGTGTAGAGTATAATTACTTAAAAAACTATTACTAGCTGTAACGACTACCAAATTGCTAATTTTTATATTTTCAACAACAAGAATTTTTACAGGCTTACTGCTATTTTTCAATTGGTAATATAGAATATCAATTACTGGCTCTGCTATAACGATTTTCAAAGTAAACTTTATGAACCTGAATATTTTGGCTTAAAAGTTAACATATCATACTCTCACATTTAATACGATTTATTGTTTTATTATTTTTTTTATTTAATATACATACAAATAAATCGCTTAATTTAATATCCATTTCATCGAGGTAATAACGTTTTCAATGAAGAATATTTTTTTGTATTTTCACCATTTCATTTGCGTGTGCCTTTCTCACTTTATTACTATTTAAATCACAATAAAAATATTTATATTTTTCACTTTTTTTTAACACTACGGAACGAAAAATAAAAAAAAACACAATTGCATTTGGAAGCAAAAAAAAAAAAACAAAATTTGTAAAATAAACACGACACCAATGCACAATAAAAACACAACAACAACAATTCAAAAGCTAACAAACATTCGAAAGCATTGCACAATTTGAATTTTATTTATTTTTTCGTTTTGTTTTCTATTTTCACTGCACTTTTACTGCACCACCACTCCAGGCATGTGCATATCAATAATGAACGCCTCTCTCACACCTAAACTTTCGATCAAATCTTTTAATCGCCGCGCTGTGACGCAACTTTATTTTCCCACTCTTAAGAGTTAAACATAAATTAGCTTTTCATTCGATGTGATGACATACATTTTATCACTTCTCGCTCACGACAGAAAATCTCCACTCAATAGGCTGGCTCTTAAAAAAGCTTTTAACTTAAAACGCGCACGTTCACTTCTAACTTCGAAACAGAACTAAAGTTACTACCGCATAAGAAATCAAATCAAACCAGCAAAAAAATAGCATACGCTGCGCATGCGCTCCAACAGCGACAGCCAAATGTCCGTCAGTCAGTCAGGCAGTCTCATTGACTTAACTGGCTGGCAAATCCATGGACAACAACAGCAACGATTGTATTAGCGTATAATGAACCACTTAAAGGCAGTTGTAGACAACAACGACGACTGAAGAAGTGAATTCCCAGACATGAGTCTCCATGTACTTGCTCCCAAAAATCGTTGTTCGTAGATTCATTGTAGACTTTTCCCCCTCCAACTATAATATTGTAGATATTTCCACACAGATACTCACCCATACATGGAAATGGGGAAAAACATTAAATTTTATTTGGAGACTTTATTTACGGCGCGCTCCAGTACATAACGAGTTTGGTGTTAGTGGTTCGTTTGCTTTTTGTTTACATTTATTAGCTTGGTTTTTGTTTTGTTTTCATATTCGCTGGATTGTTGTGGGCTACGAGTATTACCAAATCGATAAGAGACAGAGGGGGAGAGGGCAAGCAAACACAAACATTTTCATGTGAATGGACTGGCTGTCTGCATGACAGTCAACCAGTCTGTCATACCTACATATGCTACGTTGTTGATAAGTGAATAGGAAAAATAGCACGCTCACAGCATTTTTTGTGTATGTTGCTGTAGGTCAGTTCACCAGCGGAGACTTATTAATTTTTTTATGAACTCATTGACAATCGTTTGTTTTTTTTTTTTGTCCACAAAGGGAATGCGAGCATGCGTGATACGATGTTTTGACTTGGTAAATTGTGTTAATAGGTGTATCAGTCAGTCATCATCAGTGGGCTGCGCAGCCGCACTAAATGCACATGCATGCATCAGGTGCGGTGCATCGAAGCATTCATCTCCCTAAATTGCATAATATCACGTAACCTAATGGTTACTTGAGAAGACGCAGTTATATGAGCCGTGCGCCTTTAATCTCCCACATATAGGTTACTAATGCGAATGTCATAATTAAGGAAATAATAAAAACTCATGAGTATTTAATCCATGGTTGAAGTAAAAAAGTATTTTTAATAGCAATTTTAAAATATAATTTAAATAACTATATTAATATTAATTAGTGATAAAGATAGTTACGCTTAATTACATTGCGTTTATTTAATACAGTAGGAATAAATACATCGTCAGAAAGATCCATCAATCCTCATAAGTCATCATTTTTTATTGCAGCTATTTAAAAAACCTACCTTTCGCAAAAATCTGGTTAATTCCTAAGTAATGGTAGTAAAGCTAATGGGACGAGGTATTGATATAGCTCCCATATACATTTCACTCCCGATTTCACTTTTACTTAGCATCTAAAGCGTAATGCATACCCTCGGCCTATGTTTGATTATATTTTGACTTGTCTTATAATTATTCAAACTGTTGACTCTGAATGGCCTATTTAATATATAATATAAATATTGAGACGTGCCAAGTTTGGACTATATTGGTAACTTCCTTCACTTTATATGAGATATGTGATAATTTTTAGAAAATGTGTAAATGTGCGTGTGGTACCAGATATAGTCAACCAAAGCATTCCATTTTCATACTTCATCTTCTATGACAAAATTACAAGAAAATCGATCCATTTCTAAGCGAAATCATAAATTCCTTATTCATCTCACGTTTATGGTTGAGAGAAATATCTACATATAGCAAGTTGGAACGAATGGCTGACTTGTTTCGCAAGTTTTGATAAAAGTATTGAATATTGGGATCCATTGAGGGTGTGGTACCAGAAGGGGTTTGCAGATATATATCATCTTCACAACAGATCTTGTGTTAGTGTAATTTGTGTTTAATTTGAAGAGAGTTGGATGTTTATCTCGCTTTCTTTAAACGTTTTGTTTATCTAAATCTTGAACCTCATGTGGGGGAGGTACCAGAAGAAATGGTCCGATCTCTACCCTTTCGTAACAGATCTTGTGTTAATGGAAATATTCAGATGTACCAAGACTGAATAGAAAAGGAAGTTAATTCGGGGTTTTATGAGCTTCATGGATATTAACAATTTTGACCCTTTGGGGGTAGGTACCAGAAGGAGTGGACCGATATAACCCATTTTTATAACATATCCTGTGATGATAGAAATATTTAGATGCACCATGTCCGAATGAAAACGGATGTAAATTTCGCGTTTTAAAGCATTGACCCTTTGCGGGGAGGTACCAGAAAGAGTGGGCCGATCAGACCTTGGGTTAATAAAAATATTGGGATATGTGAAATTTGAAGACAATCGGACTCCTACATCACATTTTATAAGAGTTTTAATTAATCAACATTTTGGTACTTGGTAACTTACCTAGCACTGACGCAAATATTTGGATTTGCAAGGTTGGAGCAAAATCGGATTATGGTTTCTCTTTCTGTGCAGAAAATATATTTTTTGAAAATTTCGAGTATTTGTGGCGGAGGTACCAGAAGGAATAAACCGACATTGCCCATCTCCGAACTCGATCTAAGTTTGAAAAAAAATATTACAATGTACCAAGTTTGGACCAAATCGGATACTCCCTTCGAGAGTATCGTGCACACCAGCCAGACAGATAGACGCACGGACATCGTTAGATCCACTCCAAATGTTCTAGAACGGATTTGGTCCAAAAAGTCAAGTCAAAATTTGCAAGGAAATTGAAAAATTGTAAAAAATTTTCGTCGAAAAATACCGTTTAAAATGAACCCGTTATAAACGAAGTCGAGGACCTGCATTAGTAGTTCTTGGCATTGATACCGAACTTGAAATACGATACCTAAAACAGTTCCCTTGAGTAACGTCGCTAAAATCATCAAAATAGCGAATATAGGAAAGTATGTGCGCTAGACGAAAACATAGTCCTGCATACTTGATTTCCTGCCATAGGTTTTAGTATTCATTAAGAACTTCATATACGAAATTTGAGACAATTAATAATAATACTACGATCAGATACTCCATTCGAGAGTTATCATGCGCTCCAGACACGCAAACGGACGGACGGACGGACACCCTAGATCGACTTCAAATGTCCGGATTGGGTCTAAAGGCACCAAGGGTCTGAAATCGTTATTTCGGCGAGGCACGTTTTTGCCGTATCAAATGATATATACCCGTATCATAATATATATTATAAGTGTGATTGGACCAACAATTATGTAACACTTCGAAATATTACTCCTGCACATAGAATGTTATAAATGGATCTTCCAATATCGCCGAGCTGAGTCGATGTATATTTGTCTCTCAATGCTAAAATATAATCACGCTAAAGGTCGTAATTATGGTCCGATCCTCACGAAATGTTATATTGATGTGGAGTTAAGGTTCAGGATGGCCCATTGTTGGGGAAGATTATGGCAAAATGGCCCAAAAACCGAAAAATCAAATGTTCGGACCCACCCTAGTCTTTGCTTGCTGGTATTGTGAGTTGTATAGTGAGTGACAAACACAATAAAGCTTTTTCTCCTTGTCTTTTTTGGTTTTTTCTTTTTTTGCCGAAAAGATACAAACGAAATTGTCAGAAAAATGATAGGAGGAAACCCATTGTTTTGAACAGAAGTTGGCTGTTTGTTACAGTATTTCGCCAAAATTGTATGTGTATGACGGGGAATTAATATATAAACTATTTTTACATATCAAGATCTTATTTGCGGATATTGCAGGACCAAATTCTTTAAATGTTTTTTTGACAATTTTCAATTTTATTTTACAAATTTAAATATAAATTAAATGAAATTAAATAACACAATTAACAAAATAATGGCAATGGAACCCTGGCATATCAAAGTTATTCGGAAATGGACCAGAGTTTTTTAAAAATTTTTATAAAAACCCATTTTAAAACGAATAAGTTTGAATACGAAAGATTCTAGTGGAAATAACTTTTATACAAAAACACAAACAATTCAGAACAAAAAATATTTGTTAAGTTAGACTAGGATATAACAGTGATTTCATCAAAATCCAAATTTTCCACCAAAATTGCAAATAGCCTGGGGCTAGTTCCGTTATTATTCAATTATTTTACATTTTATTTTTTTTTTTTCAAGTTATTCAGTTTTTACATTTTATTAATAAAATTTAATAATGTGATCAACTTGTTTTTCATACGAAATATCATATTTTCCATATGACAAATTAACTAACATACACATAATGTCAAAGTTGTTCGTTTCTGATGTACTTCAGTCATTCAACAACAGCAACACTGCGAGTTTCTATCACTACCAGAAACAAAAACAAAACAAAAAAACTGCCTCTTTTAATTATGATTTAAACATTCAAGTGTTTTTAATTAAAACATTTTGTTAAACTATTACAACATGACGACGACGACGACAATGATGCCGACTACCTGTGTACATTGTTACACACAAATAGCACACATTTAATAAAACAACCACAACATTAACACGCGACCGAGTGTTTTTTTATTTCGAACAGTATTTTTTCCCAGTGGCAAGTGGCGGTTGCAAAAAAAAAAACGCAACAAAAAAAAAAAAAAAAGATGACATATATATAAAAAAAACCAAAACCCAACACAACAAATCTGAAGTGATGGCATTTGAACAAACACACACAAGAGGTGAAAAATTGTAATAAACTCAAACGATTTATGAAAAACATAGACAACAATATTGTAATCGGATTTTTTTGTTTCATTACATGAAAAAAAATTAAATTACAAATATTTGATTTAAACAAAAGAGTAATATTTACATATTTCTGTTTGAGTTTATTTTCAACAAAGGTACATGAATTCTTTTTTAGAGCAAGCTTTAATATTAATATAGAATTTTGTAAATAATTTAACACATTTCGCTCTTCGATATGATTTTTCGACCCCTTTTCAAAATAAAGTTTATGTTTAAAGGGGTAAAATTGTAAAAAAAAATTGTGTGTAGGTAGAAAGTGGCATCTGTCAGTAATTAAAAAAAATCATCCAAAAATATCCACCTCCGCCCAAAAATACCTCCTCCACGATGTTAGGGGTATATTCGTGAAACCCATATTTATACCCTACAACACTATGCGTTGGGCGGTATTATAAGTTTGATTGAGCCAAAAATTATGTAACACCACCGAGCTGAGTCGA